TAAGGAATAATTTTCCCTGCATTTTCCTTCATTTCAGAAGCTGTTAAAACATATTAATGTTTTACATAAAAAGGCACTGATGGCATCCCGTGGTTCATTTTCTCCTGCTCTCCTGTCCTTTCTGAACTATAAATTGGTTAGGCCTGGTGCAGTGTCTGATGCATGGACTCAGATGTGAATAATCCAAATCGTTTATTACAAGTTCTCACATCACTTATATACCTTCACAAGTTTTCTTTTTCTAGCTTTCCCATCCATCCCTACAACTTTCCCATCCACCTTTCCATGCCAACAGAGCATTCTACAAAACACTCTTCAGCCGTTCACACAGGCGCTTATCCAATCAGAGCCGTGAGATGTTCTTTCTTCTCCTAGAGGTGTCCTTGGTTCTCATGCTGTCTATGTTGCTCCACAGCTTCTGCTCTGAACAGTTTTTCTTGTATTTCCACAGCCTGGCATATGCCATGTCGATACAAAGATCAGGTACAATGGGAGTCCATTTTTAGGTAACCCTACAGCAATTTTGTTAAAAATAAGAATAAATGCTTATGGCTAACACGAGCCATCAGTTGCTACTCCTGTCTCCATCTGTCTCCCTCTTACACAGCAAAGACAAGGAGGAGAGGCAGAGCCTCATTAGAGTTTGATAATTCATACTCTTGTCATGAAAGAGAGAAAAATATAGAATACTTCCTCTCTCGTTTAAACCTAAATCAGGTTCAGGTAACATACATGAGGGCACAAGCATGGGTTTTACTGCTCTGTGAAAATGTGTATTGCAAAGCATGACCTGACTTTTGGTACCTTGTTCCACTTACTGACAAGAAACAGTCTGTCAGTTTTAAGACAGTTACTGAAAACACAACACAACTGGTGGTCAAAGGTCAAGTAACACTATTTATGTGCAGTAAAAGTACTTAGTGAGAACAGTGTCTGGAGAAAGTTGCATATCTCCTTCCAGTTTCTGTCCAAAAAGCAAAAGCAGCCCTTTTGATCTGTTTTTTATGAAACTAAGAGAGGAATATTCCTTTGATTAAAAAATGTGTTACAGTATTCGCCTTTGACAACTATTTATTCTTTTGTCTCATTTTCCTGACTGATTGCAAGCACAGAGGTTTTAGTGAAAACAATTATGCTTGTATGTTATTGTCAATGTTCTGACTTCTTCAGTCAAGAAAGGTGGAAACACATCTTTGCTGAACTTCAAACAGTAATAAACATAACGATGCACTCAGCCTCCAACTCAAATAAATAATGTTCTTCTCCAGTGTGAACAATTTCAAGCTGTTTCGAAAGTTACTTAAGTTTAGGAGCCACACCTACCTCACCATGAACCTATATATCTTAACCATGTGCGAAGGTCCAGCTGTCGAGTAAGAAATAATAGACTGTTGCACGAAGAGACACAGGATATTACCTAACTAATATGAGATATTGCTAAATTTCTATAAAAGCGGAGATTAAAGATTAATGGACTTGAGTGCACCCTCAGTGAGCTCGGGTGCACCCTCAGCAAGTTTGCTGATGACACCAAGCTGAGTGGTGCAACTGTCATGTTAGATGGAAGAGATGCCATACAGAGAGACCTCAACAGACTCAAAAGGTGGGTCTATGTGAACTTAATGAGGTTCAACACAGTAAAGTGCAAGGTTTTGCACTTGGGTCGGTGCAATGGTAATCCCAGTTACGTACAGGCTAGGAGAAGAACTACTTGAGAGCAGCCCTGTGGAGAAGGACCTGGGGCTTCTGGTGAATGAAAAACTGAACACAAGCCAGCATTGTGCTCTTGGAGCTTGGAATGCCAATGGTATTCTGGGCTCCATCAGAAGAGGGGTGGCCAGCAGGGAGGTAATTATCCCTCTCTACTCTGCCCTCATGAGACCCTATCTGGAGTACTGTATCCGGATCTGGGGTCCCAATACAGGAAAGATGTAAACAGGTTGGAGAGAGTCCAGAGCAGGGCCACAAAGATGACCGGAGAGCTGGAGCACCTGCCTTATGAAAACAGGCTGAGGGAGCTGGGCTTGTTCAGTCTGGAGAAGAGAAGGCTGTGAGGAGACCTCATTACAGTCTTCCAGTATTTAAAAGTTGATTATAAAAAGGAGGTGAATCAACTTTTTACTCGAGTAGACAGTAACAGGACAAGGAGGAATGGTTTTAGCTCAAGGAGGGAAGGTTCAGATTGGATGTCAGAGGGAAATTCTTCACAGAGTGGTGAGGTGCTGGAACAGGCTGCCCAGAGATGGTGTGGATGCTCTGTTCCTGGAGATATTCAAGGCCAGGTTGGATAGGATCCTGGACAACTTGGTCTAGTACCAGATCTGGAGGTTGGTGGCCCTGCCTGCGGCAGGGGGGCTGGAGACCCATGATCCTTGAGCTCCCTTCCAATACAAGCCATTCTATGACTCTATGATTCTATGATTCTATGATTCTATGATTCAGAGATTTAAGAAGTAAGTGTTTTCTTCCAGACTTGAAAATAATACTTTTTAAAGTCATCCTTTACAAAGATCATTACACTGATAGTCTGAAGCTTCTGCAACCACCTGGTCCAATAAATAATAAGCCTTGCATTCTTCAATCCTAAAAACCAGAGGGCTGTTCCAGATCATAAATAGTTAGTTCAGATAGATATCTTTAAACTCAAAGTTTCTACACCGTTTTTTACAGAACTGCTTCAATTTGCTAATAGTTTAATGAAGCATGCGATCTGCACCTAGTTTGTTGTGCTGTAAACACACTCAGTTAAATCAAGCTCTTGCATATTAGTGCTTATCTGCTTAGCTTGTCTTCCTCTCGCAAAGGGAGGAGAGTTCAAAATTCATTAAAATGCTTTGTAAATTCATCTCTAGTTTGTTATGAAAAACATCCTGCTAGTTTTGCCCCACTGGCAGCTGAACTCGGTGCTCAATATATTTATATATTTATATTTATAGCCATGTATTTGTGCTCAAAGAAACAAATACCACTTAGTAAGAAAGCATAAACTCCCCCAGAGTGCTCATGCATCTGAAAAATAGGCATCTATCACCATTTATGTTCAGTTACTAAGAGGCCCAGTGAAATTCAAGCCCACTATGTGTTCAGAGTATGTTGATTTCCCACAGCTGCATAAAATAATGCTGATGTTAAAAGTTAAGAAAATAAATTTCTCAGTCTCCTAGTCCAAATGTTTGCTGTCCACAAAACCAACTAGGTGGGGGAATCCCTGGGACACAAAAAGAAAATAATCCATTCTGGACTCTCATTAATGGTTACAAGCACCTCCAATCCAATATTTAATTTGGACAATTTGAGCTGGATTTAATACAACTTCTCTTCACAGATACAGGAAATGAAGTGCATGTAACTCATCTGTCAGACAGACTGCTTTTTTTTTTTTTTTCAACATGAAACAGAAGATAATGAATTGACTCAAACAATACACCTGTGCACAGCAGAGCTTGGATGTGATGGTATCAACTACACTGTGACTTTCTGCCAAATTAATCTGCATTGGGATCTGTTTGCAAAATTCAACATTAATGCTATTTATTTAAAGTGTATTGCAAGTCTTGCAGATATTATTAGTCTGTTCCTACACGCCACCAAGACCGTTTGCAGAGTGATCCTTGATAAAGAGGGAGACAGGAAACTGGATTCCCAAGAACAATTCTCAACATAATTTATGTTAACATTTCTTGACCACCACATGCTGAATCTGTCCTGAGGAACAGCACAAGGCAGAGCCACTTCACAATGAACAAACTACTTCCTGCATCATAGGAACACTGTAGTAGCATGAAGTTATTGCCCATACAAACTATATGAAGCCAGGTAACCAAGATGAAAAGGTGATTTCTCTGCCTTCCTTTTGGTTGTTGAGTCTTCCCCACTCAATTAATTCTCCTGAATTGCCAGGATCTGCCTGAAACCAACCTATACAGTCCATTGAGTGACTTTATATCTGCCTGGCTTCTGTGGTGGACCAGTGCGAAATCAACACCAGAAACTTACATTTGACTCCAAAGTATCTAAAAACCCTAACAGTTAGATTGATGGTGTAAGCCAACATGCCTTTTACAATGAGTTCTGCTGTAGGTACTCTAATACTTTTTATAGCCTTTACCATAAACCAGTTCTATTCCCACTGTCTGAACTCACGAATAACATTGCCATAAATTTCCTAGCTCTGAAAACAGGAAGAAAAAAAAAAATCTTGGTGTTTTATTTAAAACTAATACAGAGTACAGTAAATGAAATAAAAATTGCAAAACTTAAGTCATTAAACATCAGGTTTGGTATCTGTTACGTTAGTGTTGTAGGCCATGGTCTAAGTGATACTCCAAGACATTCCTTGAAAAGTATAGGCAATGGGAAAATGAAGGAAGGTGAATGATGAAAGGCTGCTGGAGGGAGGAAGACATTAGTCCTAGTATCTGGGGAGCCTGGGAATCCAAAACTGGCATCTTGTGAAGAGCTGAATTTTTTCAAACTCCATTATTACTTTGCTTGTGTATCAAAATTTTGACATGAACTGAGATATTAAAAAGCATCTCTAAGAGTATCATATAACCTTCATATTTCAGATATGTAAAGCTGTTTCATTAACAAATCACTATGTGTTTCCTCCAAATGTTCCTGAATTGTTATTCACCAAGGAAACATTTCCAGTGGCCAGTTCTCCCCATGTATAGCTATTAGTCAAGGTGACATAGGAAGTGTTGAAACAGCAGATCTTGTTAGAACACTAATATTGTTAAGACAGAAGTTAATAATTCTAAAAGTTAACTTTATGACCAATTAATCATGTGGGGTGAGTGCTGGAGGCATTCTATTCCAGATGTATATCCTAATTTACTGTCCCCAATGCATAACTCAGGAAGACAGGTTTGCAGGTGAAATAAAAGCACTAAAATGCTGAGCTAAAAGAAAATCACTTTTGAACTTCCGCAAAGTCAAGCTAAGAATCAAAATCTTTTGGATTTAAATGGTTTTATGCAACGCAGCGTCACTCTCACCTCCATGGGAAAGGCTTTAAAATTAACCGTGTGCTCAGAACCACGCTGGTTTTCTCTCCCCCAGTGAAATCGAACATCGTGTAGTTCAAACTCATGTCCTCGAGGTAAGGGCCCACCTATTAACACTGGGAAAGAACACAAATGGTAATACACTCGGCTTTGCACGAGACAAGCCAATAGATACATTCTGTAAATACAATGAGGACATTGCTGCAAGCTTATTCTCAACCGAGTTAGAAAGGGAAGTTGACAGAGGTGAGATCTTTACTTTAGAACTTCCGTGCAGTACAGAATTTAGGCAGTTATAAACAGTGAAAACACAGTCATGTAAGCCATGCACCCTTAGTTTTATGAGCCAGAACAGCTGGTTCATAACACAAAATAAAAACACTGTACCTTTATCAGAAGAGTGAATAAGTTTACTGCTGTTATCAAGACAGTAACCACATGCTCTAAACAGATGGCAGAGGTTGTGAATTGAACTGGTCACTACCTTCAACTAGTCTAAATGCTTAATTTTCATCACCTGTATTTGCTATGTACCACAGAAGCTGACAGAAAATTTTGGTTGCCAATATTTGTCAAGTGAAAGGAAGTAAATTGAAGGTAGTAAGTCATATGCCACCTGTCAGCCTTTGAGATACAGAATACCTCCATAGCCAAATATAATCATAGAATCATAGAATCACAAGGTTGGAAACAACCTATAAGATCATCTAGTCCAACCGTGTCCAATCAATACATATAATCATACATGTGCTTATTTCCTTAAAAACAGCTTCTAAATAGCCATAGCTTTTTGCTAACTTTTTTTTTTAACAGAATCCAGAATTTCTTAAAAGTATCTATCCATACATACTGCACAAAGCAACAGCTTCATATACTAGCTTGAGTCTTTTGCATTAATGGAGCCTTCTATCCTAACAATAAGTACTACAAGCAAGCAATTTTGCTTGGACCTTTTTGAGTTCCAGCCTACTTCGGAATTAATCAGTGGAAACATTGGCCCAGGGATTTGCAAATTGGCTTCACACCAATTACTACTCTGCATGTTATAGGTAACTTTATGCTAAGATCATTTGAGTGCTGGCTTCTACATAGGGCTGGGTTTTATTTAAGGTCACTCACAGTCTTTCTCATAATCCATTACCTTCTGGCTTACATTTCATTGACTTTGAAACTTTTACAATCTTTGATAATTGATAAGGATTATTAAACTGAATAATGTACAGCTTTAGAGAACAGCAGTTCCATAATAAAAAATTTATTTTGATGTACAAACTATGTAGCCTTGGAGTAGTTTGGATCATAAGATGTACTGCAGTAGTAAAACAATTCAGCAACTGTATTGTATTACAACTGCATAAAAACAAAAATACTGATAAAAAAAAAAAAAAAAGAAACCTGATCAGTTACAATTTTCAGTCACTAGTGCTGAAGAAATATTCAGATTAATTCTCTTTTAGTGATTCATCATAATTAATCTAAAAGCTATCAGGGTTCCTCAGATGAAGAGTCCTAAATGTGATTATGAATTCAAACTTGCTTCTAAAACTTTCTTTACCTATATTCTATTCATATCTGTTGGGAAAAATCTGCAAATCTAGTGAATATTTGGGAAAACAACCAATTGAAGTACTTAGGAAAATCTAGAAGAATAAAGATACATGATAATTAGGGTTACTTCTTAGGAAAGTAGAGTATTTCCTGCTTTAAAATACTGTTCCTAAAAAGTGTAACTAGACTAAATGTCTTCTATATGAAGTAGTTCTGTATCTACAGGAGCTTCTAAGACTTCGTCTTCAAAGCTTAATTTATCCACAGATCCCATGATAAAAGTATTTCAGTGCATGAGGCATGTCTATCTTTCTTCATCTTTCATCAAATTCTGATCCTTGTAAATGCATGAAATGTTTAAGTATACTTTCCAGCATTTTTTTTTTTTTTACTAGAAAACAAATCATCTGATTTGGAAACTACTGATGGCTTAAAAGAAATCTCTCTGTTATATGGATCCTCCAAAGCAATTTTCAATATCCAATTCCATAACACAGTTGGTCATGCTTATTCCCCCTAATGTATAACATATGTATGATGATCAAACTGAAAGCAGCCTGTAAAAATGTTTACAATTAAATAATAAAAAGGATTGGAGAATTCCAGATGGAGCGTGTCCTGAATTGGAGGATAAAATAATTCACCAAAAAGAACAAATTGACTTTTGATATATACTTAATCAGTTTATGTTTTCCACAAAGTTCTTCTTTGACTAACAGCACTACAGTAGGTGCGACTCTCTTGCACATCAACTGGACAAAAGTTTCAAAAGCACTCAGTGCTCAACAGTTCCCATTAAAACAATCTGGCTAAATGGATTTGTCATCAGAGATCCCCTGTGAGGAAGAGAATATGCAGGAGTTTCCACAATCCCTGAAAATTAGCCAGAATACTAGGTCAAACACAGCTTATTAACTCTTTTCTTCCCTTTGCAGGGGTAAGTAATGTCTCCCTCCAAACGTGGAAAAATTATCCTGTTTAAAAATGGAAAACTAGGTAATACAAAACTAAGAAGAAATTGAAAGTAAATCAGGAATTCCTAAATCCTAATCCCATATCTCACTCATAAAATTTCATTCTATTTCACTTAATTTCTTACATTTCAGCACTCATCAGTCTGACATCAATCTGCATTCCAGTTTAGAAAGTATTTTTCTCTTCCTGGGCCTCGAATAGTTTTGAACACGCATAGGGTGTGTTGTTAGTCCCATCTTACTAATTATTGCTACGAAGTTACAAACTGCCTGCAGAAAGGAGGGTTTAATGAGTTGCACTTTGGCATGCAAATGGCAATGTTGTTCTCAGTCAGCCTTACTCCGGAGGAGAATTCAGCGACCTTCCTGATCTAACAGAGAGAACCTTACTTTCTGAGAAAAGACCCCTGCTTCTGATGAAGGCAATAAAACTGACAGGAAGTACAACATTTCTGTTCCATTGGAAATCAGCAAAAATCTGTGGAAAGCAATGTTCTATTTTGTAGTGAAACATGAGATTTACCACGGAAGGGATATCATAGAGGAAAACATAATTATTAAAAGAACAAACGCTTTTGTTTTAAAAAATTAGTGTAAAACTGAACTAACTGCCTCACCACCAACACAGCTGCAGCTCACAGGACTACTGGGATCTCAGAAGGAAACAAAAGTTGGGCTGTCTTGTGGTTTGACAACCTTCAGCTGTTTAAATGCCCCCAGAAGGCAGCTGCTAGCTAAGACTGGTTATAATAACTTGGACACTCTTCAAAACACACGGCAAGAACTATCACAGGGCTGGAAAGAGCTTTCTTTGCCAACTTCCCTGACAGTTGTCTCCTTTGTAGAGAATAGTTTGTCCACATGAAAGGTCTAAACGAGATACTGTCATTTCACTAAACTTGAAATTGCTTATCAGCTTCTAGTTCTTATTTGATGAATTAACCTGAAAAACCCTTTAAGAAATAAGGACTGCTTTGCTACCTGCTCTTCATCAATATTGTAGGTACGTATAACTGGAGTATCTGCGTTAACTGACTAGTTAGTATTCACAACCCACTCAAATTAATGGGAAAAGTTTAGTTTAACTTACACAGACTTCAGAAAATGGACAGATTTTGCCAGTTTGGCATCACACTGTCCTAGCAATAGCAACAGCAGACAGCTGTCAGCACACTCGATGACAGCATCACAACAGGGTCCAACCCTTGCTCTGAGTGTCCCCGAACGTGCTCTGGAGAAGCCTCACCGCCCATCCAGCTTGGCGCTGACAGCTCCCTTCCCAAAGCCGGTCCCAAGGCAGCAGCACCCACCCCTCCTCCGAGTCGCAGCCGGCGCTGAAGCAGCCCCTCCTACGGGCGCACAGCAACCCGAGAGGCAGCGAGCGCCCAGGGAACGCCGCCGGAGAAGCGTAAGCAGTGTGGAGGCATACCTGATTTGGACTTGAGTGCGATCTGAATGGAATGCCCGTCGTTAATCACTTCGCAGTCGCGACACACGACGTAGTTGGGCGACAGGCGCACTTCCAGGAGCGAGGGGTCGTATTTCGCTTCTCTCGAGTTCAAGTTGATGGGCGACTGGTACTCCCCGTTGGCATCGGGAAAAATCAGTCCCCACTCGACCCCTGAAGCGCCAGGAGAAGTCGTTACGTGGCGATCCACCCCCGGACCCCCCGCCTCGACCCCGCCAAAGACGTGGCCGTTATCGGTCGCCCCCGGGGCTCCCCGGCTCCCTCGCGATCCCCCTCCCCACCGTGCCGCGATGTAAATCCTCCACCACCACCACCACCACCACCACCTCCTCTGCCCGTGGGGAAAGTTTCCCCCGCCGCAGCCGCTGCCGTGCGCCCGCTCCTCACCTTCTTCGTAGCCCCATTCCGGAGCCTCTTCCCTGCGCGGGAAGGGCTCGGCTCCCTCGATCAGGCTCCGGTCAGCCATGGGGGCTGCTCCCCTCGGGCCGGGGCTGCCTGCGCGGCTGACGGGCGAGGCTGCCTCGCGGCGCTGCGTCGCACTCGGGCCCTGCCTCCGCCCCGCGGGTGGCTGGCGTTGTGCGGCGACGGGCAGGGGCAAGGGCTGGGGGCGGAGGGAGCCGTGCGCGAGGGCCGAGCGCTGCATCACGCCGCCGCGGGGCCGGACACGGACGACCGCCCCTGGAGGAGGGTGTGAAGGCGGTCGCGGTTCTGCAGCCCGGCTGGGATTCCTCGTACGACACCATTCGCGTCGGCTTCCCGCCGCGGTGACTCGGTGTGCCAGCGTTCGCGTTGGCAGCACCCCCGTGTGTGTAGGGTATGGACGGGGAGAGCCTGATCTACAAGTGCAAAGTCTGCTTGCGCCTGCGAAGGAAGCTCCCCAGGCTTCGGATAGGACATGGGCAAGCAGCTGGAAGGAGGCCTGGTACGAAAGGACCGAGGGGTCCTTGTGAATACCATGTAGAATGAGTCAGCCGTGTGCCCTTGGTGCTGGGATGGCTTCTAGTATTCTTCATTGCGTTAGGAGGCTTGTTTCCAACAGGTCAAGGGGCACGATTCTGAGTCTCTGTGGTGCTACTTGAGGCCATCTCCTCCAGTCCTGTCACTAGTTACACAGGAGAAGAAGTTTACCCCGCCTCAGCATAACTTCCTTTCAAGGAGTTACTGAGAGCAATAAGGCATTCCCTGAACCTCTTCCAGCTAAACTATCCCAATTCCCTCAGGCACTCCTCGTAAGACTTGTGCTCCAGACCCCTCACCAGCTTTGTTGCCCTCCTCTGAACATGCTCCAGGGCCTCAGTGTCTTTCTTGTAGTTAGGTGCCGAAAACTGAACACAGTACTCAAGGTGTGGCATCACCAGTGCTGAGTACAGGGGAACAGTTACTTCCCTGCTCCTGCTAGCAATGCTATTTCTGACACAAGCCAGGATGCCATTGGCTTCTTGGCCACCTGGGCACATTGGCTGGGTCATGCTCAGTTGAGTGTCAACCAACACCCTCAGTTCTGTTTCCTCTACACAGTCTTTCAGCCACTCTGCCCCAAGCCTGTAGCGTTGCCCGGAGTTGGTGCATCTAAACTTCAGGACTCAGCACTTGATCTTGTTAAACTTCATCACACTGGCTTCAGCCCAGTGATCCAGCCTGTCCAGGTCGCTCTGTAGGGCTTCTCTATCCTCAAGAATATTGACACTTCCTTCCAACTTGGTGTCATTTGCAAACTTACTGAGGGTACACTCGACGCCCTCATCCAGGTCATCAATAAAGATATTGAACAGGACAGGCCCCAATATCAGCCCTTGGGGAACACCATTTGTGACTGGTCGCCAGCTAGATTTAACTCCATTCACCACTACTCTGGCCTGGCTTCCAGCCAATTCCCTACCCAGCCAAGAGTGTACCTGTCTAAGCCACAGGCTGCCAGCTTCTCCAGAACACAGTGGGAGACAGTGTTGAAGGCTTTGCTGAATTCTAGATAGACTACATCAACAGCCTTTTTCTTATCCACCAGATGGCTCACTATATCAAAGAAGGAGATGAGGTTGGTCAAGTAGGACCTGCCTTTCATGAACCCATGCTGTCTGGACCTGGTCCCCTGGTTGTCCCACGCATGCTGTGTGATCTCACTCAAGATTATCTGCTCCATAACCGTTCTTGGCATCAAGGTGAGGCTGCTGGGCCTGTACACAGGTCCTCTTTATAACTCTTGTAGATTAGAATCACATTAGCAAGTCTCCAATCCCCTGGGATCTCTTTGGTTGACCAGGAACACTGATAGATGGTGAACAGTGGCTTGGCATTCACCTGAACCAGCTCCCTCAGCACTGTTGGGTGGATCCCATCCAGCCCCATGGACTTGTCCAGGTGGAGGAGGAGGTTTCTAACTGTTTGCACCCAAATTGTGGGGAGTTTATTCTGCTCCCCATCCCAGATTTCAAATTCAGGGGGTAGAGTACCCTGAGGATAATTAGTCTGACTTTTAAAGACAGATGCAAAATATGCACTGAGAACCTCAGCCTTTTCATTATCCTCAGTGGTCACATTCCTCACGGCATCCAATAAAGGATGGAAATTCTCCTTAGCCCTCTTCTTACTGTTAATATATTTGTAAAAATGTTTTTTGTTCTCTTTTACCCCAGTGGCCAAGTTGAGTTCAAGCTGGTCTTTTCCTTTCTAATTTTCTCCCTGCATATCCTAACATATCCTAACAACTTCTTTGTACTCTCCTTGAGTTGCCCATCCCTTCTTCCAGGGGAGGTAGATATTTTTTTTCTCCTGGAACCTCAGGAAATGTTTCCTTTTCATCCACGTCAGTCTTCTCTGCCAACTCATCTTGTGGCACAAAGGAATAGCCTGCTTCTGTGCCTTGAAGACTTCCTTCTTGAGGAGCAACCAGCCTTCCTGGATCTCTTTACTCTTCAGGACTAAATGACAAAGGACCTCCCTACCAGTGTCCTGAACAGTTCCAAGTCCACCCTCTGGAAGTCCAAGGTAGCAGTTTTGCTACCCCGCCTTCTGACATCACCAAGAATCAAGAACTCTACCATTTTGTGGTCACTCTTTCCAAGACAATTCCTAGTTTCAATTCCTAATTCCAAACCTCCCAGCAGTCCTTCTCTGTTTGTGAACAGCAGGTCTAACAGGGCATATTTCTTAGTAGGCTTGTTTACCAGCTGTGTCAGGAAGTTATCTTCCATATACTCTAGAACCTCCTAGAATGCTTCTTTTGTACTGTACTGGTTTTCCAGCATATATCAAGGTAGCTGAAAACAGGAGCTAGTGATTGCACAACTCCTGCCAGCTGCTCATAGAATGCTTTATCCATCTCTTCATCCTGGTTAGGAGGTCTATCATGATGTCCGCCTTGTTGGCCTTCCCCTCGATTCTTACTCACAGAGATTCAACCTTGTAATTCCCAGCCCTGAGCTCAGTAACTTCAAAACACTAACATAGAGAGCCATGCCACCACCCCTCCTTCCTTGCTCATCCCTTCTGAAGAGTTTATAGCCATTCACTACAGCACTCTACTCACGAGAGCAATCCCACCATGGTTCAGTAATGGCTTTAGAATTTGGATGGCACTTTGTGGAGACAGGAGTTGGATTTGCTGATCCCTTGTGGGTCCCTTCTAACTCAGAATAGTCTATGATGCTACAAAACTCAACAAAGACATGCTCCAATTCAAGGATATCAGAGTTCTCTTCCTATAGCAACTGATATGTGTGGATCTAGAGAACATTTGTTCTGTCAAGGGAAAAAAGTCAGACCTCTGCAGTTGCCTCTCCCCTAGTGTGGTGACCCAAAAACTTAAATCAGTTTTTTTGGGGGAAGAGGACTGGAAACCCAGAAATGACAGTCTGCACTGCCTGAGAGCAACCAAGAGAGGCAACAGAAACCATCAAATAGAGATGCTACAATGGTAAGTGGAACTGTCCTTTCCTTACCATCCATGTCTTCCTGGCAGAATAATATCCCGACCTTGTGCTGTTGATCCACTCTGTGGACCTGTGTTCCTGCAGTACCACTGCTCAGCAGTAGTACCTGTGACTCCTGTTCGGGGCTGACAAGAGAGAAAAAGAAGAAGGAGTGAGCTAGAAATTTTTTAATGAAGCAAGAGAGTACTGGTTCATGAGTTGTGTGCAAGGTGGAAAGAAATCAAAACAAAAATATGTATTGGGTTTTCTTGTGTGCTTTTTGTTGTGTATTTTTTTTGGGGGGGGAAGGGGGAAGAAGTAGGTTGTTTGTATAGCATCAGAACAAAAATACATGTTTCTTTCTTCCTGATCTTCACTACTGATGACTTAAAAGGAATACATTCTACCTGAACTAACTACATCAGTATGCAGCTTCTTGTGGGGAAAAAAAAAAAAAGGAAGCAAATTTACCTTTTTCTCTTGTGTTGAATACCTGACATCCTTACAAACAGAATGTGCAAGTTTTCTGGCATGAACTTTTTCACACAATAACATGATGAATATACATATTTTTCTCCCATGCTAAATTGGTTTGTTTGGCAAATTTTATCCTCTAAATCCGTTTTAAACACACACTAGGTATTCTTATTAAAGTCAGTGCCTTTGAATTATTGCTGACCCACAGAGGGGAAAAAAACACTGCTCTAAATCATCACTGATTCTGGCCCATCTGACTAGAAATGCCTTTTTCTCTTTAAGCAGTCTAATATTTTGAAGAAAAAACAGGCTTAGGAGGCTGGGTTCATTCCAATGGCCCTTGAAGCACAGTACTTCATTCATGCCCTCTATTAAGTTCTTTCCTGTGGTAGCTTTCCTGTGGGACGTCTGTTCTAGAATTTCACACTTTTGAGTGGCAACATAATCAGACCTGTGATTTCCTGTTTTGTGATAAATACTTTTAATGGCTTTTCATAGTTTTCATGGCTTCCATTCATAACTGAAGTTAAGTGCTAAACTACTTATATTTGTTGCCCTTCCTTTTAACCTTTTCATTCTTTCCATATCCTTCTGAAAAATTAGGCACAGCGGGTAAAGGCTTATTTATTTCTCTTTGTCTGTTCAGTTATTCTCTGTGCAAATACTGTATTTTTCCCATAGTTGTCTGGCATAGATGTCTGGCATAGAATGACCTAATAAATGGATTATATTCTTCTGAAGATCGCTATGAATTGGTAAAGTGTGTGAGTAACAAGGGATTTCAAGGTTATATCTCCACAACGTAAGGGTTCACAGGACAGATATTTCTCATTTAATTCCAACCACAATTGACCTGAGCAATCTCTGCACAAACCAACTCATTTGTTTCTGGACCCATCTTCATGTAAAGGCACTGAATCACATAGAATCAGGTGGAGATAATGACACGATGAAAGCCTTGCTTGAGATCAGGGGGATTTGCTCTCTTTTAATGATGTAGGCACTCTTGAAATTGTTGGACTCTTTATTAAATTTGCACATATAAGGTTACAGTTGACTTATCTACAAAGACTTGATTTCTAGCTAATATAGTACACTTAAATGCAGTGTT